CGTAGTTTGAGGACCCCTGGTCTGGACTCTCCTCTGGCCCACGATGCAGCTGGCCCAAACGGGCATGTAGCCTGCAGGCTCCGCTGAAGGTACTCTCCTCAGTGGCCCTTCTGTCCAGGCTCAGTGCCTGACAGCCCTGCCCATCAGCTGCCCCAGCCCTGAACTGGGGGTTTGGCCTCGGTGCCTCCTCCTCCCTGGCCTCCTGCATCAAACCTGTCATGGCACCTGGCTGCCCTGGGCCAGGTCCCTCCCCCACCTCCTCTGCACCGGCTCCTCTGCTCCTGGCTCCAAGCGGCCCACCTGCTCCGTCTTTTCTACCACAGTGACCGTCCCACGATGCCAATCAGCCTGGCGCCCCTGCTAAAGACCCTGGTGACTGCTGACAGGACTCGGGTCCAGGCACAGGACTCACGGGCCCAGATGATGAGGCCCTTGCGCATCTCATGGCCTTTCCTTCCCCCCTTCTCAGCGGGCAGCATTCCTCCCGGTTCCTAGCGAGGTCCTGCTCCTCCCTGAGCCTTTGCCTTGTCCCCCCGCCCGAACCTCCTCCTCGGAGCCTGCCGGTGCCTGCTGACACCTGCCCACCCTCTAGGTCTTGGCGGGGCGTCACTTCCTGGGTCATCACACTTGCCACGCAATTTCAGTCCCTGTCTTTCTTTCCCTCGGTGTCAGTCAGGACCCTGTTAGTCGGACAGAAAACCCAGCTCCAACTGGTTTAAGCCAGGAAGGCCTGGGCCAGAGGGGCCTCCGGAGAGGCTCGACCCGGTGTTCCGAGGGCACCGAGCATCCAGGCCCCCCCTGCCCCCGCCCCCCACCCCCCGCCGGTGTCAGCAGGAAGAGGGGTCTGTTAGTGCCTCCCCCACTCGGCAAACATCCTCCTGGTTTACAGCTCCAATCGGATACTTGCAGAGGCGGGACAGATGGTCCAACTGGCATGCGCACCTGGGGCTCACCTATGGACCTGGGAGCAGCCCCTCAGAAACCACATGGCTGAGCAAACTGCAGGTGCTGTTACCAGGCAGAGTGAACTGGCACCAAGTGGGTGGGGAGGCCTCCATCGGGGAAGGCAGGGGTGCTCTGCCTGGTCCCTCCATAAACCAGTGTGAAGCGGCACTAGGCGTGGACGGATGACACCTGCTGGTGGGAGGCTCACCCTCCCGGCGCGGTCCTGCGTCTGGACCCTCCTGCCAGCCTCCCAGGCAGTGAGAAGGCTGAGCTCTGAGCCAGCTGGGTCCTGCCCCGTCCTCACAAGGCACGTGCCAGCCGATTGGCAGAGGCCTGTGGGTGCCCATGACTGACTGGGTTGCGGGTTCAGTTGTGTCAGGCAGGAGCAGGCGCCATCCCGGCGGCTGCAGGACTTTTGGGAGGGAATGAGGGAGCTTGCAGGGACGTGGGGAAGGCCGGAGAATAGTCCGGAAAAGCCCGGGCGGTCAGTCACTCCTGTCACAGGGCACTGTTGCCACCGTAAACGAACCCCAGCGGTTTCAGTCATCCTCCCGACGCCCTTGGGATGCAGCCCCAGGGCTGGCCCTCAGGACTGCGAGGCTGCTCTCCCGGGAAAGGTAGTCTCCCAAATGCAACCCATGAAGAAGGGAGGCTAGACGCCGGGGCTAAGAGCAAACCGACCCCCGGAGTGGGGGCAGGGCAGCTCGTTTGTCCTGGCAGGTGGCTGGTCTTAGCCGCCAGGGGGGGCAGGGTCTTCCTGCAGGTGCAGCTGAGTCCTAACTGTGACCCAGGAGCCGAGCTCCTTGCTGCTGGGGAGACTGGCCCTCCTGCTACCAGTCTCCCCTGGGCTCACACCAACCTGCACTTCCTGTGGACTCCTTGGCCCAGCCCACCCAAAACCCGCACACAAAACCCCAAAGTCCTTGCCTGGCACTCAAGGCCGCTGTGATGGCCCTGTCCGCTCCCTGCGCAGCCTGTCCTCTGCTCTGTGGCCCCGGACAGTCGCGCGGGAGTTACTGACTGCACCAACACTCCCTGCTCTTCGGGTTTCCCGTCTTCCTTTCAGGCCCTTCTCACAGCAACACGCAGCCCACCTGCCGCCCTGGCTTAGCCCCGTCCTTCCCTCTGCTGCTGTAGCCAGGCCCCTGCCCCTGCCATTCTCCCGCTGTCCCATTGCACCGGCTCCTCCTCGCCCACGGCCGACACTTTCCTGCCCCAGGACCGTTGCACCTGCTCTTGGAGCTCCTTCATGTCCCCACCAACCCTCCCCTTGTCACATTTTAACTTGTGACCGTTCTGTTGTCTGCGTCGCACTCATCACTTGGCACGACCCCACTGTCACTGTCCTCACGGGCCCCCACAGCAGTGTGAACCACACGGGAGGGGCCTTCCCCAGCTCAGTCCTGTCTGATGGGCGGGCAGCGGGTCCTCGTGCCAGCACCTGCCCTGGGCTCAGGGAACAGCAGTTTGGCACTTTTCCCCAAGCTGATCTCAATTCTAGCTGTATATCTAGGCAACGTTGGAGCCTTGCCCAGAGGACATGCCCATCTGACAAGGGGCGTTTGCTTGAGGTAGGCAGGCCTCCATGTCAGTTTTTTCAATACACACACACACACACACACACACACACACATATATATATATATATATATATTTAAATTTATTTCAGAGAGGGAGAGATAGAAACATCAATGGTGAGAATCATTGACTGGCTGACTCCTGCACACGCCCTACCAGGGATCAAGCCCGCAACCTGGTCATGTGCCCTGGACTGGAATTGAACCCAGGACCCTTGAGTCTGCAGGCCAATGCTTTATCGATTGAGCCAAACCGGCTAGGGCCACATCAGGTTTGAATGATCTCTCCTCTGGTCCCTACCATTAGAATCACATTCCAGATGAACCGCTGTTCTTCCCCAGCGGCTCAGAGCAGGAGTGGGCAGCTGTGAAGGCTGGGCCCGTGGCGGAAGCTGGAGCCGCAGCCGCCCTCCCCTGTGAAGGGCAAGTTCTGCTCAAGACCCCTGAGTTACGCTCCTCAATGGCCAGCAGCTGCCATGCCTCACTACCTTCAGTGGTGGTATTTGCTGGAAATTCTTCATGTGAAGAATTAGGTAACTATTAATGATGCCAGAGGGGGAAGGAAATCCTCATAGGCAGTTGCTCAGAGCTCGACTCCATTCTTTCGCCCTGGTGTTGGCCATCCTTCATGCACGCTGCCCACTGAGCTCACTCACCAGATCAGCTCCACCGCCTCCCTGCCACCAGCCAGCTTTCCTGTGTTTATTCCAAGTCTCTGTTCAAATCTATGAAACCCTGAGACCTTTGTGATCAAGTTCAATCTCCTTGGCCAATTACATTAACCGCTATTTCAGCTTTCACCGACTTTCCAGCCTCTCCTAGTGACTGGGATGGCCTGGGGCTTCTGAGCCCACAGGTTGGGTCCTGGTGCTGGAGGATGTGGAGCTGACCAGCTGGGTCATCTCCCCTGGGGAGACCCACCTGCCAGAGGAGAGACTGAAGCCAGGGCCAGGTCAGCAGGTGGCGGGAGGGAGGCCTGGTCTGGGCTTCCTCCACAGCATCTGTCATGGAGCCACTGCACCTGCTTTGCTGTTTCTGCTTAAACTGCCTGAGCTGGGTTTCTGCCACCAGTGAGCCCCAGCCGCTGGCAGCCAGAGCCGGCACAGCCTCGACTCCATGACCTTTGATTTTATCCTGTGCCACGGCCCTCACCCCATCCTGGCCTCTTGCAATCCCAAACACAGGAGCTGCCCCCCTCCCCCCGCCCCTGGGCCTCTAGGCCCACACCGTGTCTTCTGTGTGTCCTACCAGAGGCCCTCGAATCCCCTGGTCCAATGCTTCCTCCTCCCTGTGACCACCTCACATGCTCCCACCAGCCTCCAGCACTGTGATTACTGCCAACGAATTGGACCGCCCCTCCCCTGCTGCCCAAGGCTGGGAGCAGCCTGCTGCTCTGTCCTGTCCTCAGTGCCCGAGTGCTGCCTGCCCAGAACAGCCTGTGGGACTGAGCCCTACCCCGTGGATCTGACACTCCCCCGGGAGACATGTCAGAACCGAAGTACTGCAGGACTCCCAGCTCGTGTCGCAGGATTGCTTGGTGCCCCCTGCCCGTCTGGTGAGAAGTATCAGGAGTGTTCCAAGAGCCTGGTGTGTACTGAAAAGGAAATCAGTGGGGCTCCTCCCTTAGCACCGCTGTTACAGGTGACGCCGCCTGTATGGACCGGCATCGTCTCCGACCGCCGTGTGCTGTCTCCTGGGACGGGTTCCAGAAGAGGATGAGCAGGCCCAGCGGCGGGCGTGAGCGTGTAAGGCTGGGCTGCTGCGAGCCTGCCGAGCTGAACTGCCAGCAGGACATCCTCCTCCTCAGCACAGAGGAGTTTTAAACAAGCTGCTATAATGTAGCTGGGAGCTTGTCCTAACTGCATAATGTTGAGTATTAGTGAGATTGTGGCACTTAGTTGTTATTCCTCTCCCAAGGACACTTTCCCATTGAGTTTTAGAGAGAGATACACCGATTGATTGCCTGCCACACGCACTCCAACCGAGGATCGAACCCGCAACCCAGGTACATGCCCTTGACTGGGAACTGAACTCACAACCCTTTAGTGCTTGGGTCGGTGCTCTAACCACTGAGCAACCAGCCAGGGGAAGATTGCACTTTTTTAAAGGTTTATTATAAGCTTTTAAAATTTCTTTTATGATTGGTTTGCAACAGATTACTGTTTACCTCATGGTCACGGTGTGACAAGAGTCACCTGCAGGCAGTCCTGCATAAATGGCACTAATGGGGGTCTTGTGGCCAGCAAGCAGACCCGGGGCCTTCCTGGTGTCAGCTGTGGGGATCTGCCTGCCTGTCTGCAGTCACAGGGCTGGGGGAAGTCTTAATGGCTAAACACAAACAACAAGCTACGTTTATACAAACAAAACCAACACATTTATATGAACAAAATAAATGTACATGGAAAGCCTGACATCCAGGCCTCTCCCCAGAGAGCAGTGAGCTGGGAGCTGGGAGGCTGGAGCCCCCGGGGGGCAGGAGGGTTGCCCGGCGGTGGCGAGGGGTCGCTTTCTTGCTTTGGGAACAGCCTCCTGGGAGGGCGCCCAGGGAATGACCACGCAGTTCCCCGAAGGCAGGTCACACCTCAGCAGTGACAGCACGGAGCTCGGCTGCAGTGTCGTCCTGATGTGCCAAGGTTGCAGGTTCCGTCCCCGGTCATGTGAGAACCAACCAACGAATGCATAGGTAACAAACTGATGTCTCTCTCTCCCCCACCCCCTTCCTCTCTCCAAAATCAATGAGTAAAATAAATAAATAAAGAACCAAAAAGGATGTCCGTGGACTTCCCATTGCCCAGCAGAGGTCTGAGCTCTCCAGCAAGCTGGCAAGGACTCTCGCCGTGACCAGGGCCATGCCCAACATGCCCACCTGCAGGCTACGGTGTGGAGGCCCGTCATGACAGCTGTGTGACAAGCATGACTGTCTGGGCTCTGCACACGCTCCACCTCCCAGACCCTCTGTGGTGAGGACCAGTGCCCCGTTTTCCAGGTGGAGACACACTTGCCCAAATCACATGGCACTTAAGCCAGGGGGCCGGGTTTGAACCCAGGCCGCCAACCTCAGAGCCCGTTTCCCAACACATCAGGCCTATCAGGCCCACGCCTTGCCGTACGGCTGGAATGGCTTTCTGGGCTCTTGCCGCACACACCTGGCCGGCGCAGGGCAGGCCTATGCCCACCAGAAGCTGACGGAGAAGCTCAGGTCCAGGGCCCGCACGTAATGCCAGTATTTAACGGGGATGAACAGCAGCTCTCCCGGGGACAGGATGCAGGACAGGAACGGGGCCTCCGCAAACCTGGGGAACTTCTCCAAGTCGGGATTCTCCACATCAACCTGGAGGGGGCAGAACAAGTCACATACCTGCCTCCAGGCGGTGGGGGAGGAGCTGCGAGGCCACGCGGGCCCACCTGGCTGGTGTTGTGCAGAAGGTGTGTGTCATGAGGGTAGACCGCCTCCGACTCCTGCGGGGAATACAGGCGGATGTACTTCCTCCCAAGCACCTGGAAGAGAGCGACCGGCAGTGAGCTGGCTGCGACCTCACCTCCCGCCGCTGCCCCACACTGACCGCAGGTCCCTGAACCCCTCCCTGCCTCTCTGCACCTTCCACGCGGCTCCCGCACCAGCCAGCCCCAGCCCCAGCCCCAGCCCCAGCCCCGCTGCACATGTGCCAAGTCCAGCGTCTGTCCTCCGGGTCCACTGCAGACCAGCGCCTGTCCCAGTGCGCTTCACGTGGACCAGCTCCGACCCCACCGCCAGGGGGCGGGTCCTCCCCACCACAGAGCACAGGGCTGGCGAGGCGGTGAGCTGCCCGGTTCACAAAGCACTGGGGCCGAGCGGTGTGCAGGGGGCAGCCTGCTCTGTGCACCCCTCCGCCTGGCTGGAGGCATGTTCCCATCGGTTGGACCCTGTGCTTAGGAAACACTAAGGCGGCTGCACAGCTGCCCTCCCTTGCCCTCTTCCGGGTCCCAGGAAACCAGGGGCCGAGCAGCTGCTCCCCATGGGGAGGGTTCTGGCAGGAGAGGCCAGCCCGGCAGGGGCGGGAGCGGCAGGTGCTCTGGAGGACTCCCACCTGGGCCAGGAAGTTCTGCTGGGGATCCTGGTGAAGGGGGGACACGGTGCCCGGGGGCCCAAACCAGGCGTTGATGGTGATCTCTTCCTCCTCCCCGTCGCCCAGGCAGCAGTAGTCAGGGATGCTGATGTCCTGCTTCAGCTCCGGGATCTGTGGGTGGCAGAGCAGGCGTGGGAGGTGAGGCCAGGCCGGGCACGCCAGCCCAGAAGTCACAGGACTACCTGACAGAAGGCCAAATGCACGCTGTCCTCCTGTGTAAGACACGACTGGGTGTCATGTGCTGGACAGGAATTTAAAACTCAATGTGAAAAATGTAATCATAGGGAAGAGCTGTGATTTTATGTCAGGTTTGTTTCCATGTCATACGCATTTTATGTGTCTTTGCTTTTAAAAACCCAACACCAGTGCTTTGTCTTTGTACTTAAGGATAAACCAGTTAGGGGCGTCTGGCGACATTTTCACTTAAATGCGCTCATCTCCCCTCTCAGGCTGCACAAGGGGCTCAGGCAATCTACGTGAACATAATTTCTTATAAATGTGTCTTTAATGGGTTTAATTCACCCTTAAAAAAATAAACCAGTTGGTAATTTTCTTTTTCTTTTTTTCTCTCAGGTAGTAATTTTCTAAAGAGTTAATTATTTTAAAAAATCAGAACAAAAAGAAAATGGGACTGACGACCACATCTCTGGGGGAAGAGCTCCCAGATCTACCAAAGGTAAAGAGCGACGCCGCACGCGCCCAGTACCGTAGTTACAAAGACCAGCGGACCAGCACCCGACTGGAGCAACTGTGCTAAGTAAGGGTTAACGTACACAGCTCGTTCAAAATTATAAGGATCCCACTACAAAGGACAAAAACGAGATAATACCTAGAAATGAATGAGATATAAAGGCGCGGTTCAGTCCTGTTAGCAAAAAATCCAAATGAGACGTCATTGTTTATCACCCATCAGACTGAAGAGTGACAGCAGCCAGCATGGTGAGGATGTGGTGGAAGGGGTGCCCACGCTGGGCTGCTGGTGCGCCACGCGGGAAGCCATTCAGATAGCGAGGCGGTCCTGTGCACAAGGCTTCAAAGCCTGCGCGTCTGACAGATGGAAGCGAGCTGTGCTGCGCTCCCGGGTGGGGGGTGGGGTGTTGAGGCTGTGATGTCCCGCTCCCAGGAGGAGGCTGCCAGGAAAGCAGGTGCTGTGGGCTCGCTGCCCGCGCCATCAGTGTCTGCATCTCGTCTGACGTCAGTGCGTCCGATAAGATGTACTTTAAGATGGTCCCTCTATTGCTTCCTCACCGCCCCTGCCTCCCCAGCCCACGCCCTCTTTTGGGCAGAGGCAGCCTGTCATCTTTGCCTCAGAGGAGGAGGAAAGGAGGACACTGGAAATCAAGGTGGCTCCCTCCTCTAAAAGCCCGGGAGGGTATAGAGCCGGCACACAGGCCGGGCACAGGGACCGCCCGAGACAGACAGTCTGCGCCCAATGAGTGAGAGGAGACATTTTCCCTGCGAGCCCAGCCCATTTTGTACTCAACTAGACTTCCTTTATGGCTTTAACTCATGCGATTCTTTTTGGGCCCAGGCTTCAGTTTCCCTTGAATTTCCCAAAGCCTCAGGGCCACCGCCAGCGCGGGCAACCCTGGCGGTGCGGGCAGGGTGTGCTGGTCCTGGCCTCATGTGGAAAGAACCAGCCAGCGGCTCCCAGTGAAGACACCTCTCACCCTGGATGAATCCACCTCCTGCCCCGACCCCCAGTGCCGGCCCCACCAGAGCAGCCTCCAGCCCCACCCGAGGGGTGTGGGTCCCTCACAAGCCCCGGCGGGGCCAGCTGAGCCCAGGGGCCTCCCCAGCCTGAGAGGGATGGGACCGCCCGGAGCCGCCTCTGCTACTTGCCCCGGGGGCTTTCAGAGGAAGCGCCTGGTCTGAAGGTGCCCAGTGTCAGGTGCCAGGTGTCCTGGGCAGGGAGCCTGGCCACGCCATCCCTGCAGGGGGGCTACTGCGAGTTGGGGTGCTGGCAACAGCTGGAATGTCCTGCAGGCACCCTGACCAGACCCTGCAGTTTGCGGTCTAAGTCTGTCTCAGCAGCTGGTGTAGATGCAGAAACGCGTCTGTGGGCACTGCTCTGGGCTAAGGCAGAAGGCCCTGTCCACGGTTTCCGGGGATCACTCATCCCAGGCCCTGTCCGCGGTTTCTGGGGATCACCCCATCCCAGGCCCTGTGGGATGCTGAGCAGCTCACTGGTTCCTGATGACATCATCAGGATTTCCGAAAGATGATTGGTTGATGTTATCAGAGCACTGGCCCAGGACTCAGAGACCCCAAGAGAAGAAAGCCTCCCGCAATATGACTTATAGTTAAAAGCAGGCCTAGTGCAGTCGCCAATACATCCTAAACCCGGGGCCTCTGGGAGGAAGTCAGTAAGAGACTTCCCTGGCTGCCCCACACTGGGCAAGAGGTTGAGTGGGAGGCCCTGAGCCTCGCGTGGGCACAGAAGGCCCGGAGAGCAGCGCAGAGGCCCCAGCCCGTCCGCCCCGCATGACGCCCCAGGGCCTGGCTGCTCACACTTCCCCACCACCCTCTGTACAGCAGCGGGGAAAACGCCCCTGGGACCCCAGATAAAGACTCCGGCAACAGCCAAAACATCTTCAAAATAATCACAAGCTGCCTTCTCTTCAAACAGCTTCCTCTTGTTCTCATCCGATGGCTGTTCCAGGGCCCTGGGAGGCCGTGCCCAGTGTGACTGAGGTCTTGGATCACACAGTAGGGCTGGTCAATGAGAAGCCCCTCTCCTCCTATCAAGAGAGTCCAGGAGGCAGGACCTGCGAGCCCTAATACGGGAGGCCTGGGGAAAAGACAACACGCCCACCCAGCCCTCTCCAACTTTGGGGTGGAGGTTCCTGGAGGCTGGCGCAGCCCCTACTGAACCTGGGACCCCCTACCCCACCCCGGGACAGGCAGTGAGGATAGCGCTGGCAGACAGGGGCCCAGCCCATGCTTGGCTGTGGTCCTGCCACCGGCTCACTTGCCTGGCCTCGCCTCCTGCGGGAGCTGCCTTCCCTGGGCATCCCTGCTGCCCAACTTCTCCCCCCCGCGCCCCCCCCCCCCCCCGCCCGTGTCTCTGGCCTGGCTGAGACCACACCAGCACCTCTCCTGGACTCCTTCATGTAATGAGTCAGTTGGCCCCCAAATCCAGGAATCGTCCTTGATTGCTCCCTTCCCTCAACCTCGGTCACCCACCAGTGTCCAGGTGCCAGCACCCCACATGCTGTCAACACCACCCTCCAGTCCCCATCACATTCGGAAAACTGTCCTTCCTCACCCAGCCCCACCTACCTCTCAGCCCCCACCCCTTGAAGGTGAAAGTTCACTCCTGTTGCTCCCCTTGCCGGCTGCCCTTCTCTCACCTCCTCACATGGCTGGCCACTCCTCACCTTTTGGGTCCCTGCTCCAATGTTACCCCCAAGACACCTTCCCTGGCTGCCCCACCCAGAGAGCCACTCTCCCGCCAGCCTCCTCCTGGAGCCCCTCCTTCCTCTGGGGGCTCCTCACCATCTGAGGTGATGGTCTTAGGCCCCCGGGGGCAGGGAGTGACTCTGACATCTTTAGCCCTGTATCCAGGGCAGACTCAGTGCTTGGTGCACAGGGGCCTACAGAGAAGCCCACTCCCTCGTGGCCCCGGGTCCTGGCCCAGCCACACCCCCAAGTGCTGAGTGAGAAGTGAGGGGTGGGCACGTGGAAGGGTCTGGGTAGAAAGCCGAACTTCACCCCTTTCCCCAGGACGAGCCTCCTCTGGCTGCCCAGCGTCCTCAGCAGACAGCGCTGCAACCGGAGCGCAACCTCATTCCTGCCACTTCTCTTGGTTCTCGGGTTGTTTGCATTTAAAAACAAGTCTACCTTTTCTCATTATGATGAGCGTTCACACTCATTCTAGAGGATTTGTAAACTACAGAAATGAGAAGGAGAAGACCGCTCGGCGCCCACAGACAATCACTGCTGTCTCCTGTGGCATTTCCCGTCCTCGGCACAGCGAAGCGCATCCTTTACGTAGTCCTGCACCCCAGTTTTCTCCCTCCCACAGCCAGGACGTCCCGAGCTCCCGGGACCGCTTCGTGAGCTCCAAGTTTGGTGGCTCTGGAGCCCCGTCACCTCGAGCCCAACCACCGAGCCCCAGGATGGAGGCCACATGGCTGGGAGCTCCCAGGGATGCCCATGCCGGCCAGGGTCACGCTCTGCTGTCTGTTCACAGGTGCTGATTTGTGGCAGCGGCACCTCTGCTCCCTGCACTGTGTCCCTCCCCTTTCCCCCCCAACACCGTCCCTCGCAAGTATCCCGGCTCCCTGGCTGTCCTGCCTCCCTGGCTGTCCTGCCGGATTCCATTGGAAATGCTGCCTCTTCCTAGGAACCCTCCTGTTAAACGCCTCACAGGGCTCCCTGCTGTTTTCCAGATAAATCTGAGTTCTTGGCTTGGCATTCAAGGCCCTCCCCTGTTTGGCCCCAGCCTCCCTCCTCGCCGGCTCCTTGCTCTGCAATTCTGGACAAACCCTCCCCAGCTGGTTGATGTACCCAACACGGCAGTCCCACTGGCCCCTCTGGCCTCTGAGTGAGGCATTGCCCTCTGGCCTCGCTGCGCCCCCTTCCTCCCAGCTGCAGCCTGCGCCCCCTTCCTCATTCAGTCTTCAGCAGGTGTGTCCTCGGGGCCTTAAATCCGGCCCACCAGGCTGGGTACCCAGGGAGTCAAACCCGGCCCCTGCCACGAGTGCGCAGGCCCAGGGTGGGGAGAGCCTTGCCGGGGGATATGAGACGTGTAAGGGCGGTGCCAGGACCTGCCCAGAAAACTGTTGCAGGGAAGGCAGCGACTCGCCCTTGCCTGGCTGCCCGGGACTCCTTCTCCAGTTCTGACCACACCTGAAGCTGTGGACTCCCCCAACTACCCGTGTGCCCCGCCCCTCCCCTCCACCCCATTCGCCATCCTGGGGCCCTGGGCTCTCAGGCCTGGTGGCCTTGCCTGCTCTCCTGCCACCTACTGGTGAGGAGGGCGATGCACAGGGTGCCAGTCTGCTCTCTGCAGGGAGCAGCACCTGTGGGTGGCAGATGAGGCTGCTACCCTTTGCTGCCCTCTAGGGTCAGAGCCCAGGAAGGGAGGAGAGGAGCTGAGAGTGAAGGGCAGATGAGCGCCGTCTCAGACCTACCTGGTCAAAGAGCTGGTGCTGGGCCAGGTACCCGACGTCCCTCGGCTGGTCCATGGGAGAAAAACCAGAGGCAACACAGAAAGCCCGTTAGTGGTGATGGACGCCCTCCAGGTGCTACTGCTGTTTAGCTGGCTCTCAGCACCCCATGCCCTTGCCCCTGCCCAGCCCCGGGCAGCCACACAGAGGGCCCCCTCTGTCCTGCTGGCCCCCCTCCTCCCACCCAGCGGCTGATGTGGTCTCAGGACCCGTGCTGCCTCTGCCAGAGGTTGCTGGAGCTTGTCAGCCTGTGCCCAGGGCTCAGTTGACTCAGATTAAAAACGAAGGGGCAGGCCCTGGCCAGGTAGCTGAGTTGGTTAAGCATCGTCCCCAGACACCAAGATTGTGGGCTGGATCCCTAGTCAACGCACATACAAGAAGCAATCAGCGAATGCAGAAGTGGAACAAATTGGTGTTTCTCCGCCTTCCTCTCTCTAAAATCAATTTAAAAAAGGGCAGATACGTTGGTTAGATCACTCCTTTCTGCCGTGGAGTCAGCATCCGCTGGTCTCCCCTCCCGCAGTCATCAACCCGACTAAGTCCGAGTCTCCCAAAGAGCCAACAGCTGCCAAGGCTCTTCATCGGAGGTTTGAGCTTTGAAACAAACGATGTGAGTCGGAGGAGCCCTTCTGAGCCAGGGGGACACAGGCTGCGATGAGATCAATCACCAAGCGCCCCTGAGGCTCTGGGTTTGTCATGATGCCAAGCAGGTGGATGCAGCCACAAATGCCAGGTCAGCAAGGGCTGTGTCCAGCGGAATCTCAAAGACCTGGTCCCCACCACACTGAGGAAGATTTCTTCTGGTTGCATCGAAGAAGACACAGGAGAACTCGCCTAACAGGCTATTCTGAACCGTGGGAAGATGGAGTGATTGAAATCATGACTGAGCCAGGCAGTGGCGAGAGGAGAGGTTGGCTTTGGTGACCTGACTCCAAAGACAAGACTGTCATTCAGAAATAACATCCTGCGAATGGCCACACTGAGAAGTAGGGAGAGCCCTGTCCAAGCAAGAGATGGCCAGCGCCAAAGAGGTCGAAGGTTCTGGTAACTTCGGAGGTGGCCGTGGAGGTGGTTTGGTGGGAATGACGACTTTGGTCGTGGAGGGAACTGCGTGGCTGAGTGGCTTTGGTGGCAGTGGGGATCGTAGCTGTCATGGGTTGGTAACGATGGAAGCAGTTTTGGAGGTGGCGGAAGCTACAGTGATTTTGGCATCTTCAAATTGTGGACCCGTGAAAGGAGGAAACTTTGGAGGCAGAAGCTTTGGCTCCTATGGTGGTGGAAGCGAACACTTTGCCAAACCACGAAACCAAGGTGGCTGTGGCGGTTCCAGCAGCGGCAGGTTAATTACCAGGAAACAATGCTCAGCAGGGAAGGAGAGCAGAGAAGGGCCAGGGAAGCTACAGGCTACAGCGACTTGTGAACTCAGCCAAGCTCAGTGGTGGCAGGGCCTCGCTGCTACCAAGACGTGGTTTAGATCAGCGGTCGCCAACCGGTGGTCCGCAGAGGTCTGTGGGGTCTGAAAGGTTGGCGACCGCTGGTTTAGACAACACTCATGTGAAAGGGCAAAAACCTCGAGGACTGTGCTTGTGGCTAATTGTGTAACAGGTTTAGTTTCTGTTCTGTGGAAAGTGGAAAGCATTCTGACAAAGGGCTTTGATGTAGATTTTTTGCACCATGCTGTTGATCGCTAAATGGAATAGTCGGATCACGACACCGAGTGAACGTGTCTTTTATTACATGTGCTGGGTAAAGCTAGGCTGCTCTGAAGCCATCTTGGTAAATTACCCCAAAGGTGTGATGTCGGAATCACTTCAGAGTGATGTCAGGTTTCATCTGAAACTGCTGGGCACAGAAGCCAGTGTCTTCAGAAACCCTGGTGTGTTGAACTGACATCTACTGTGTAGTGGCCTGGAGTTCACCGTTAAAAGGTCACCCAAGCAGAGTCATGGAGTCTGTTAGGTTATTACTGATTGTTGACATATCCTGTGCAATATATCTACACTGAATTACAGCACCAGATAAAATTACAGATGGGAATGAAACCTGTGTATCATCCATTACCACGTGTAATCAATAAACAATTTAATATCCTCTTGGAGAAAAAATGAAGGGGATGATTTAAAAAATAAAAATGGAATCATATTAATATATTATATGTATTACTTTGAAATCTGCTTTTGTCATTTCACCACGAATCTCTCAAGTTGATACATACGTGTCTGACTCATTCTTTTGATGGATACTTCTTTATTGACAGATACACTGTTATTAACTCACCTTTCCCCCTACTGGTGGACACTGGGGTTGTTTTGCCCATTTGGGGTGTTCGCTAGTGTTTCATCAACAGCCTAATAGTTTGGTCCTTATATTCACACTAGTGGCCCGGTGCATGAAATTCGTGCACATTAAAATGGAATTAATTAGAGGAAATGTTTTAATATTGTTGTTTGCCCTTTCTCTATAATAGAAATGTCAGGGACAAAAGAAAATTAGTAAAATGTATATAAAAATCTCCCTCCTGTCAGAGTCTGGGGTGTGCCGCGGGACTCAGAGTCAAGTCCCTGCCCACCCGTGCACGACTCGAAATCGCGGGAGACCCAGACCCAGCCGGCCCCACCCCTGTCAAGCCCCACAAGGCAGGGGGCTCGGCCTCAGGTCCCCGGGCCCCGTCACGAGGGTGTGATGACCATATGCATATTAGCTCTTTATTACATAAGATACTATGTCCAAAAGCAGAACTGAGACAAGGAGTATGTGCTTTTTAAATTTTCATAGTTTCTGCCAGGTTATTTGCCCCAAAGTTAAATGATGTAGACTCTTTCCAGCAATTAATCTGAGCGCCCATTTTCCTACATCTTTGGAGATTATCACTGTGTGAAAAGGTCAGTTTCATATACCGGCCCCGGGCCTTGGGCTTCTCTGCAGGCGCCTGGGCCTCGGTGAGGATCCATTGGAGGAGTGGAGGGACGCCAGGCGCGGCCCTCGGGCTCCAGGGTGGAGTTGGCTTGGCCTCAAGGTCTGAGGCTGAAACGGTGTTGAAGGAAAGAAGTTCCTCCAGGATTCCTCAAAAATCTGTCTTTCTGTCTCTCTCCTTCATTCTCTCTTCCTTCCCAAAAACAGTTTACAGAATGCCAGACCCTGCACTAAGCGCCGGGCAGAGCCAGAGGTGACGTGGCCTCCAGCCCCTGGTGCAGAGGACACGGAAGGCCGTGGTAGCTGAGCGCCAGCTGTGCTCTCGGAGCTCCCGTGCTACTCCCGCAATGACCCTAGGAAGCGTGGGTAACCTCAACTGACCCCAACCGACCCCAACTAACCAAAGGTCAGGGCACTGGCGACCCGAGAGGTTAAGTAACCAGCCAATGACACACAGCCAGCCAGGGCCAGTGCTGGATACAGTGCTGTTCTGCCTGAACTGCAAGTGCACATCTTGACCCACGCACACCCTCTGGCCCCGCCTCTGCCGAGAAAGCAGGCTTCCGCCTGGCGGAGGGAGATGCCCAGGCCCACGGGGTGCATGCCTACAGCAGAGGTGGACATGCACACGGCACGTCTCTAGCCCACAGCTCCCTTTCCAGCCTCCAGGTGACTGTGCACTGAGCAGAGATGGGGCCGGGAGGAACGCAGAAGCAGGAATGGAAGGAGTCTGTGAGCCCTGCTGGAGGGGCCCCGCAGCCAAGTGAACGGCACCGAGTGCCGTGGAGGAGGGGAAATGTAGGAGCGCAGAGACGGGTCAGGGAGGGCCACGGGGTGGTCCGTCAGGTGAGAAGCTGAGAAGGCCAAGCGAGGAAACCTTAGCCCCATGGTCACTGACCTGGACCGTCAATGCAGCAGACCCATGACCAGACCGGTCAGAGCTTTACAGAGCCCCTGGGCTGGGGGCGGGCTGCCGGGTGCGGCGGAAGAGCTGCAAAGCACTGATGCTGACTGCGCACACCTTGTGGAGGTCCTTGCCCACCACAGGTGCGGGTGGACAGCCCCCCCTGAAAGCTCCCCTTCTCCTGGCCAACAGGGATGGCTCAGGCTCCCGCAGACAAGCTGCATTCCCGGCCTCACTAGTCAGACTCTGAAATGACAAAACGGCGCAGCTGCTTTGGAAAACAGTTTGGCAGTTCGTTCCTAAAAGGTGAAGCGCAGAGCTACCATGAGGTGTTACCAGCAGTTCCACTCAGTATACACCTAACAGAAACAAAACGATGTCCACAAACACACTTCACACGAGTGTTTATAGCAGCATTTCTTTTCTAAATCCTCACCGAGGACATGCTTTTATTGATTTCCAGAGAGAGAGGAAGGAGAGAGAGATATGTGAGAGAGAAACATCGACTGGTTGCCTCCCATATGCACCCCGACCGGGGATGGAACCCGCAACCTAGCTTTGTGCTGACAGGGAATCAAACCCAGAACCTTTTTGGTGTACGGGACGATGCTCCAACCAACGGAGCCACCCGGCCAGGGCTCCAGCAGCATTTTGATACTGACGGAAAGTGCACACAGCTCAAATGCCCCCAACTGACGAACGGATAAACAGCACATGGTCTCTCCATACAGTGGAATACGATCAGCCGTAAAGAGGAATGCAGGGCAGCACCGACAGATGCCACAACCTGGCTGAGCCTTGGAAACGTGAGGCTCAGTGACAGAAGCCAGACTCAGAAGGCCACACACTGCATGAATCCATCTACAGGAAATGCCCAGAACTGGCAAATCCACAGAAACAGGAGCAGGTTAGTAGTTGCCTGGAGATGGGGGACAAGGGAGTGGGAAGCGACTATGACTTAGTTTGGGGTTTCTTTGGGGAGTGATAGAAATTTTCCGGAATTACACAGTAGGGATGGTTGCACAATGTTAGAATATACTTCAAGACACTGAAATGTACAACCAAGTTTTTGAAATGAGCCCCTCACGTCCTGTCACGTGGCCCACCTGCCTACCCAGTAGCCTGCCTTCCTGGCTGTGGCCGCCTCCTGACAAGACTCTTAGAGACTGACCACTCCCAACGCTCCAGTGCAGCGCACGGAGTTAGGTGCCCAAATGTAATGTGCTCCTCCAATAAGTATTAGAAAGGAGTCAGAATGACATACCTCGTTGAGGATGTAGCAGCTGATGAACTCACTGACCGTCATGAGCCTCTGGGACCATTCCTCGTCGGTGTACCTAGAGCCCACTTCCACCGGGACAGTGCGGCAGCCAGCAATTTCTTGTATATACTCCAAGCTGTCAGAAAATATACATGTCATTTCATCACTATTGCTCGCGCTTGCAGGACACTCTGCTCAGCACGCTGGACACTGGGCTCCTCTCAGCATCACCACTTGCGAGGTGGAAACTGCCTCCCCCATTGCACTGACTAACGCCTGTCGCCAACCTTTTGGACCTCACGGACCACCGGTTGGCGACCACAGGACCAGACCCCACGGGCAGAGGTGAGGCTCCGCCCACCTGGCGCTGGAAGGCTTTGCAGACAGTTCCAATAAACCTCATTTGCCTCAGCTCTCCCCGGCTGCTCTGTCACGGCTTGCCAGGAGCCTTCTCTCTGCACGCCTTGTCACGCAGCTGAGTAAGTGGCCGGCAGTACAGGGTGGAGAAGTGCCTAGGTCTCAACCCTGGTGGCCTGGCATTGACTCCAGACCCTGCCGCAATAGACCTGGGGATCTAGCAAGTTACCTAACCTCGCTGAGCCTCTGGTCATCACTGCAAAATGGTGGTGACGACTGTGCCTGTCCCACGGGAACCAGGACAAAGAGTTAAACATGGCAAGGGTCTGTCTTGGCACTTGGTACGCAGTGAAACATGTACCACGCAGCAAACATGTAACACCATTGGCATGCAGTGAAACATGTACCATGCCTGGCACAGAGCAAACATGCAACACCACTGGCATGCAGTGAAACATGTACCATGCCTGACATGCAGCAAACATGCAACACCACTGGCATGCAGTGAAACATGTACCATGCCTGGCACACAGCAAACATGCAACACCACTGGCATGCAGTGAAACATGGAACACGCCTGGCACACAGTGAAACATGCCTGGCACGTATGCCGCATGCTTGCTGGCACGTGGGCTGCTGCAGTCAGAGCTCCTCTGTCTCAGTGGGAGCCACTTCCTCCACAAGACTACCACCGTGGCAGGCTGACTCGCTCACCCTTCCCTAGAGACCCTCCTCATTTCCAAAAAGATGCGCAGCTATGGTGATATGGCCACTCTCCAGCTGCCAGTCTCCCTGCGCCTGAGCCTGAGGCGGGACTACAGGCAGGTGTGAGGAGGAAGCAAATACAAGAGCCACAGGAGCCCAGAGAAGGGGACAGGCTGTTTCTGGGGCTCTTATTTCTACTCTGAAACCTCAGGGCCCTCAAGAAAGTGCACGAAATTCCCAAGATCCTACAAAACTGTTTAAGAGACTTAATCCTGGACTGCCCTGAAGCCCAAATTAAAAATGGCTTCGGGCAAGCAAGTGGGAGGGTGAGAGTCTGAGATCTGGCGAAGAGCCAGAGCTCTGACTGTTGCTGTTTGTTTTTAATCCTTACCCGAGGATTTACTTATTTATTATTGTTTAAAGTACTACATATGTCTCCTTTTCCCCAGTTTTATTTTTTTAATTTCAGAGATGAAGGGGGAGAAACACTGATGTGAGAGAGACATATCAATCGGTTGCTTCCTGTATGCACCTTACCAGGGATTGAACCCGCAACCTAGGTGTGTGTCCTGACCAAGAATTGAATCCACAACTTTTTGTTGTTGTTGTTAATCCTCACCTGAGGATAATTTTTCCATTGACTTTTTAGAGAGAGTGGAAGGGAGGGATGGAGAAAGAGAGAAACAATGTGAGAGACACGCATTGACTAGTTGCTTCCCGAATGCGCTCTGATCAAGGCTGGGGACCGAACCTGCAACCCAGGTATGTGCCCTTGCCCTGCAGCCTTCAGTGTGCAGGCTGATGTTCTAACCACTGAACCACCAGGCCAGGGCTGTCAGTTCTTGTTTAACCCTCAGCCACCCACCCCAGGGCCTGGTAGTGACGTGTCCAGGGGCTGTGCTACTTGGGGATGCTGGGGAGGAGTGCAGGGAGTCTGGGAATGCTGAAATGGAAGGAGAACCTCTGGCCCTCAGCAGCCACCCACCTCCACTTCTTCATGCACGGCCAATGGTCGGCCACGCCTTCCAAGATCACAGGCGTCTGTGGAATCAAATAATGCTTCCTGAAATGCTGCAGGGATGGACAGTGAAGCCGGGGGACTGCTTTCTCTGACCTCATATCGGGAATTGAAACATGGCCATTCCTGGCTTTCTGTTTAAAATAAAACAAAACAGGTGGCAACCACCAAGGAATTTGCATCAATAGTAGGCGAGCTTTGGGGTCATTAATAACAGTAATAGCTAACATTTATTATCATTATTACTGCTGCTGCTACTGTTCACTTCTCCTGAGAGCAAGATAGTTTTTTCTTTACCAGGTCATTTCCAATGTTTGTTCAATTATAAAAGTAGTATGTTGCTGTCACAGAAATTCTGCATTAGAGGAGAACTTACTATCCCACACTCCACCATCTAACATAAGGGCATTCATTCTCCTTCCCTAGTGCCTTCCCCACCATTTCAGACACATTGCTGATCCGTGGGTAATGTACTCATGATGAACACACAACTCCGCCTCTCCCGTCCAATAATTTATCTAAAGCAGTTTCCCTGATACCACCAGTCCTTGCAATGTCCCGGGAGTGGTTGCGTTATAATTTTCTTAATCATCTCCCAGCTGACTGACCTGAGTAAGTTACTGTCTCTGAGCTTCCGTTTCCTTAGGTTAAACTACTGGGAGATGAACTCTCATGTGTGAACCCAGGATGACCGCCTGGCGTGTGTCAGCGTCCTCTGCCCCCATCGCCGGACCCCAAGCAAGTTCTCTACATTTGCAGCAGTGGCAGCAGCACAGCTAACATCCTTACATGCAGGCGATGTGCTGGGACCTGTACCTGCTTGTTCTCTTCACTGTCACAACAAGCTTTTATGTTCACACTAGAGGCCCAGTGCACGAAATTCATGCATGAGTAGGGTCCCTAGCGGCTGCTGGCTGCCTGCTGCCGGCTGGGGCCTCCCTTCACTGGCTGCAGGCTGCTGGCAGGGGCCTTCTTTCGTTCTGCACCGCCCCCTGGTGGTCAGTCAGCACATGTCATAGTGAGCAATCGAACTCCCGAGGGGACAATTTGCATATTAGGCTTTTATATATATAGATGCCCCTCATCAAAGAGGCCTTCCCTGAACATTCCCTGAAGCTGCCTCCCCCCATCTTTTACAGCCTCACTCTACTGTCAGTGCTGAGAGGACAGGGCCTGGGCCTTTCTGTACCATCACCTAGCGCTGGCACATCTGGGCCACTGCTGGTGCTCCATAAAGCTGCTGAGAAAACCCCTCTTACAGGCAAGGGAGCAGCGGGGGCACAGAGGGACTATGGCACTTGCCTGACTCACAGGTAGTGGATGGCAGTGTGGGAGCTTGAGCCCAGGCAGGCTGGCTCCAGAGCCTGCGCTCAGGCCCTTATCTATTAGCATGTCCACTGACCAACACCACCCACACCATGAGTACCACCTTGGCCACGAAGCCACCTCCATATGCCCTTGGACAGACTTAGCATGGGAAAGGGCACTGTAACACCTGGGTCAAAGGGGACAGGTTTTTGTCCCTTGATCTACACGTCTGCCCTGCCCTCTCCAGGGTCAGTGAACACACCATGTACTTAGCTCTTGGCACCCTTGGCAATGCTAGATATTGTACAAAAGCTTGTTTAATAATTTCACAGCTAAAAATGACTGCCCGTTTTTTAAAACCAAGATGAGGTTGAACATTTCCCCACACTCTTTTATAGATGTTTCCTCTTTGTGAACAGACTTGCCCAGAGGTCTGTGTGTCAGCACTGGGCTTTGAAGCCGTCTCAGTAAACCATCCTTTGCCATGTGCACTTAAATACCAGCAGGGACATGTGCAAGGATCTACAGGGCAGGACTGATCAGTCACCTGATCAGAAGACAGCTAACTGTGTTATCTCCCCCAAACTCAGCAGCACAGGGACAGAGGCAGCCAGGAAAGTGGGTGATACTTCAACCAGCTGACCAAGAAGCTGAAAGAGATGGGCTAGCTGGCTGCACTCTCACCACACAATCCCTGAGCTGTTTCTCTTAGGAACGACGAAGCTGCACGCCCCCTCCCAAAAGGACACTGCTTCTGCAGAAACCGGAAGAAGAAATTGAGAAAATAGATGGAGCTGCTCTATTTCCAAGTCGATGGAGATGCTATTTTCAGCCAGAGAGGTGACTTGTCCCTTCTAGAAAAACAGGGCTGTTGGGTGGTGTTAGGTGTGGTCGCGGACAATGCCACCAAGATACCTTTAAGCGGGGCTGCTCCGGGGCCGGACCTTGGGCAGGCCTTTTTCCAGGGAGAAGGTGCGCCTGGAGGACGGCAGCGACTTTAATGAGGATGTCATCGAAGATGGCCGCTCCCATCAGCAGGCCCATGTCACAGGCTCTGAGGGCTGCGGCCACGGTGGCCGAGTCCCCAGGCGCTTCACACAGACACATGGCTTTCAGGAGGCAGCCGAAGGCATAAACCCGACGCCAGTCTTTGTCCACGTCCTGCCACAGCCCGGTATTGAGTTTCTCCCAGGAGTAGTCAAGGACCGCCTCGCACGCCTGCAGACACTCGCTCCGTCTGCCCCCGTAGAAGAGGTCGGCGGCTTGCTGCAGCAGCACCACCACACTCCCCTCCACGCTCGCACGGAGGTCCAACCGCAGTTCTTCTTTAGTGCGGGGCAGGAGCGCCCGCAGGGCCTCCCAGAGCGCCCCTGGCCCCGCCAGCGCGTCTCGGTTGCTGTCTTCTGCCATCAGGCCCACCGCCAGCTCAGGCTGAGTGCTGGTGGAGGAAGAAATAAGTTACAGCAAACACCATGAGGGACACGTGAATCCATACAATTCTCTTTTTATAAAATAAAACTGTGATGACTCCAGTGGCCAACATGTCAACCACTGAGATTTAGAAAATATATACAGAGAGAGGGCGACCACATACAGACTTGGTCCCCGGTAGGTTCCTACAGCTTCCTACACTTGTCCTTTCTAACACACACCTCATGTGCCAGTGCGAGGGTCCTTCGACAATGGGCTTCTCTGCTGGGCATAAACTCTGAGGGCAGGGCCCCATCTGTCTGGGTCACCACTGTATCTCCAGGGCCCGGCACAATACCAGCGTGCAGTGGGCACAGGATAAATATCTGTTCAGGAAGAATATTTACCCCTCTTCTCTGGCAAACCTATCCCACCCTCAGTGACCCCCTGCAGGGGCCCGCCAAGGCTCCCGGGCAGTGTTTCCTGTTCCAAAGGCCCTGGAGCGTCTTTGATAGCAGCTGCCACATGCAGCGCTAATACCTGCTCACTCGTCTCTCTCTAATACCAGCTTGTGAGCTCTTCCAGGGCAAACGCATCGCATGGCTCTACATTTCCCTGGAACCTGTAAGCTGCCCGGCTCACAGCAGGCACTCCACGGGGGCTGCTGAACAAGCGAGACCTTAACTTCTCCGGAAGGAACCTGAGGACAGGGCACCATTTGAAATTGAGGTCCTTAGGACTGACTTGGTTTTATTTATTTATTTAAAATATATTTTATTGATTTTTTGCAGAGAGGAAGGGAGAGGGATAGAGAGTTAGAAACATCGATGAGAGAGAAACATCGATCAACCGCCTCCTGACACCGCCTACTGGGGATGTGTCTGCAACCAAGGTACATGCCCTTGACCGGAATCGAACCTGGGACCCTTGAGTCCGCAGATCGACGCTCTATCCACTGCGCCAAACCAGTTAAGGCTGACTGACTTGGTTTCAAATCCTCGCTCTGGAAATCCCATCCCTTTCTCTCTCAATACTCAGAGACCGAGGCTTTCCCCTGGATAATCAGGACCCGCCCCCTGCCCCCAGGCATCAGAAGGCAGCAGCCGGGCCTGCGAATGGGGTCCCAGTCCCGGCCTCGGTCAGGCTGAATATGACATCTTGACCTACGTTATGGTTCAACTCCTACTTTCCCGTGAGACCGGACACACGGACCGGAAAAGACCTCAAAGCTCTCAAGATCTAAGAAAAGATTCATTTCCCTCACCTCACCTTCTCATCACGGGCACCCAGCACAACCGGGACCCCTAACCCACGGCGTCCTGTGCCTTTGCCGGAATAATCTATAGCCAAGTTCCTGCTTCTGGGCATTAGCGCCCGTCTCCTGGATGGCGCTCTTCATCAATAAGAGAGCCCGTATTGCTCCACTTCAGCCCCCGTGTCTAGCGTTTGGCTCTGCCTGCACCGGGTGGACGGGCTCTTTCTGTCGCCGTGACCCCAGCCCTCGCCCCACCGGACGGCCCCCCCTAAGCATGGTGACTTACCGGTCTTCGCATCCTGAGGGGCAACGCGATGCTGATGCTGAGTTAGCTCCTGCCGAGTGGCCGAGTGGGAAAGCCCGGTCCTGCAGGCGCCCAGCGCGCGGGCCCCACCTGCTCCCTCGGGCGCGGCACCTGCCCACACCCTCCCGCCTCCCCCAGGCCTCACACCCTTTTCCTCCCGGCGCTGCCCCCGGGGTTGGGGTTCATCTCTGGCGGGCCATTCGGAACCCCGCGGTTCAAACGTTCCCAGTCCGCCGAGCTCCAGGCCGAAGACAACGCCGATTGGTCCGGCAGCTACAAGTAAGAAACAAAAGACCGCGCAGGCGCACTAGAGTCAAACCAAGGCGACACAAGAACTGCGCAGGCGCAGAACATCCTGGCTTGCAAGCATGCGCAAAATTCTGAAATAAAATCACTGTCCAAGCGCAGGGCCTTTCTCCTACCCGCGGTTGCTCCGGAGAGTTGCTACCCCCTGCATTCTCAGAGCGCATGCGTTGGTTCTGTTGTGTCTCTGACGAGCCTTCCGAGGCGCGTGCGCGAAGCTATCCTCTCTGGATTGGTTCCTTAATCCAACGCCTGCGCAATTCTCCCCTCCTCCTGTAAGGAGTCACTCCGCCCTCTCGAGTAACTCGAGCTGACCTTCCTCGCGTCTGCGCCGCGTCACGTCTCGCGGGGACTCGTTCCTATTGGTCCGTACCGCCCCCGCCCCCGAAACGTCAGAGGTGCGCGCGAGCAGAGTCGACTCTCACAGCTCGTCCGGTCGGACGGAGTCCCTGGAGGAGCGGTGGGTGCCGCGGCCCGTCCGGGTTAAAGGCCTGCGGTCGGGGGCCGCGCATGGCTGGGCTGCTTCAGTTTTTCTCCCACGTGGGTCCTGCCTGTGGTACCTCTGCGATGACAGCTCCACAGCCATCATGTTTATCCAATCTTTACAACTAAGGTTCTTAGCTTTCAGTTTCACAGCGGGGTAGCCCGAGCTCGGTGACATAAAGTGGCAAACCCTGTCCTTTGGAAAGTGACCGATGCTGACTTTGAGCCCCGGGTGCTGCACCCGCGGCCGGTGGGAGTGGGGACTGGGTTTCAGTGCGCGGCCGGTGCCCCCCTCCCGCCAGGCCCCCTGATGCTGGGCGGGGGCGCCCCAGGGGGTGTGGTCTTGGGGAACCAGGGACGCAGGCCGTTGCAGCCTTGGACAGAGGCAGTAGAAAGTTCTGCTGATACTTAGTGTGGACTCTGTCAGAGTAGAAAAGAGAAGCGGATCCTATACTGGTGTTAAATTACCCATGGCAGCTGTAAAAGAGGATGAAGCGGGCTTGGTTCAGGGGTCGACCGTGATGGGGAGGGCGATGGGACACAGCAAGTGCAGATCTGTCACCAAGAGCAGGGCGGGTCCGCGGATGGAAATATTACAGAGGAAACCCTGGGTAAGGGCGATTCTGCTAAATCGACTTCACGGGATTCTTGCCGGAAGGCCAGGGTCATAGCCATCAAGGTTGAAGGACGAGGAATTTGATGATAGACTAAGGGCGGGGAGTTTTACTAAACGGACCCAGCAGGATTCTTGCTAAAACTAAACAGAAGACCCTGACCCATATTGTGTCAAGGAGAGTCTTTGCTGCTGGTCACTAGGGATGTGTCCGATATTGTCTGGGCCGGTCGGACTCCTCAACATTGTGTAATTCTCCCAGCAGCCCGGTGAGGTGGAGATTATGTCTTACTTACAGGTGGAGACAGGCTTGCCGAAGGCCAATGCAGCAGGTCAGTGGGCTCCAGCTACTGTGCTACCCCCGAAGAAAACACAGCAAACCCAACCCCTGCCCTCAAGGGTTTCACAGGTAAATACAATTAACAAATATTTATGGCGAATTTACTACACACCTAGCACTTTTAGAACACTTAAAAATATTAAAGTCATAGGTAATGCCCTAGGCCAGGGGTGGGCAACCCCTGGCACGCGTGCCAAACATGGCACGCCAGTAACTTTTGTTGGCACACGAAACCCTCTCTTATAATCTTCCATTTACAATTTTTTTCTTAATATCGACTTTTTTATTTTTCAGATAAATTCAGTGTAGGTGCATCTTAGATAAATAAATAATTTTACATAACAAGTTATCTTAAAGACCATAGACATGGATTGACGAGAGAGGGGAAGAGCAATTTCTATGCCTCTGCCTTAACTCTCCCTGCCTTCCTAGATCCGACCAGTGTTTTGGTTTCACCCACGTACGCTTGTGAATTTTTGTTCTCAGCGATGAATTTTGTTAAGCCTCATAATAGGAGTAGCCTGACGGATGAAAGTAGTAGCCCGTGCATATCTCTGAAGGTCACAAAATATAAACCTGATGTAAAATCTCTGTCATCAGTGATGCAGCAGCAAAAGTCCCACTGATAATATCAAACGGAGTCATAAAGTTTTCTGTCGGACTGTCAGTGTACATGTATACATTAAAAAATAAATGTATTTTTCATCATCATATACTGTGTTTTTGTCGCTCGAATGAATTGTATTATTTCTTCAAGGTTCTTCACATATGTACACCTTAAGAGATATCAAGTAGGCGTAACACGTGCTCAAAAAATTAGGGTTGACACACAGAAGAATTTTGAGTCAGAGATTTTGCTGGTTTTGGCACACATTCACAAAAAGGTTGCTCACCCCTGCCCTAGGCAGTTTGGTTCAGTGGATTGAGCATTGGCCTGTGGATGAAAGGGTCCCGGGTTCGATTCTGGTCAAAGGCAGATGCTCTGGGGTTGTGGGCTCAATCCCCAGTAGGGGGCCTGCACGAGGCAGCTGATCCATGATTCTCTCTCATTGATGTTTCTATCTCTCCCTTCCTCTCTGAAATCAATAAAACTATATTAAAAAATAATAAAATCAAATCATAGGTAACTATTATAATTTTCATCCCCAGTTGAGTAGTGACAACGTTGAATTTTATTTGAGCCCCGTGCTTCTGGAAGACAGTGATGGTAAAAGGAATTTCCCTCACCCTTTACCCTTTTGTGTTCCAGAAAACAGCTCACTGCAAAGAATCACCCTTCCCTGTGATTAGTAAGTCAGAGATGCTCCCCTGCTTTTACCTATGAAAAGGCCAATCACAGACTCCAATTCCCGTTCTTTGTCTCATCAATGATTAGCCCAGCTGCTTGTCCCTGCTAATCAATTGGAGCAAAATGCTTGTTGACAAAACTTTGCCTGAATTCTCTCCTTCCCAGCCCCTGAGCTTCGGGTCAGCCTCAGCCTGAGCCTGCAGACAGCCCCTCCTGAGATAAGGCTGGCCTCGGAGTACCGTCTCCTCATGCCGCCCTTCCCTCCCGCTTCCAGTCCTTCCTAGCCTTGTCTTCTCCCTATGAAAGCATCTTGAGCCCTAAGCCTTGCAGGCCTTGGTCACAGCATTCTCTGTTGCAGCAGTCCCCATCCCCCTTGCAATCATCCTTTCAAATAAGTCTCCCTTTACTAAGTCCAGTTTTATTTTTTACTTGACAGTGGGTGGCAGAGACTAGTAGGGTGGGCCTTGGCCTCTAGAACCCCAGACAGGCCCCATAGGAGGGGCCAAACTCAGGACACACTGATTCTCTTCCACAATGACCAGCAGTGAGTTAGGGTGCTGCCCGCCAGGCAGAAACACACCTCTTTGCCAGCTTGTTTGTGTTTTCAAAACTGGCTTGTTGAAGTGTATTACAGGTGCAGATGAAGTGTGTTCATACAAGAGAAGAACCACAACCTTTCACCAGGGGCTTCCCTTCCTGTAGTGTCATTGGCACCTGCCCCCCCCCCCTCCCCACACCCCCATTCCCAGCAGTCTTGGAATTGGCCATTAGCTGACAGATACTTTTGAGTGTTACAAAAGTGGTGGCATTACCATGCACTACCTCATCTTCAACATGTTTCTAAATACTGAGACATTACATTTCTCATGCATTATTTATACCACTTCTACATCCAGAAAGGAAGTGAGGCTGATTATACATTAGAAGAAGAGGCAAGAGGCAAAAAGTTAGTGATTTGATTTTTATAAAATTTAAGAAAGACATAATAACAAGATCTCTAATATATGATCTCTAAAATTTTTAAAAATATATGTGAATTTATTTTTGTGATTTTATAATAACTCAGAAATTTTGTTAGCTCAGAAAGCTTATTGCATTTAACATATTTGTTAAACCCATAATAAAATTGTAGTTTTTGCTTAAATTGCCCCCCCCCCCCGAATCTTAGAATAGTTTTAGATTTACAGAAAATTGGTCAAGATAACAGAGTTCCAATATACACCCCCCCCCCCCCCCCCCAGTTTCCCTGTCATCTTAGGTTAGTGTGGTACCTTTGTCACAATTAATGAGCCAAGGCTGATAGACTTTCATAACTAAAGCCCATGCTTTATTCGGAGCTCCTCCGCTTGTGCCTGATGTGCCCTTTCTGTCCTAGGGTCTATCCAGGATCACATGTAGTTGTCTTGTCTCCTGCGTGCCCTGTGGCTATGACAGCTTCTCCCACTTCCCTGTTGACGACCTTGACAGCGATGAGGAGTAGTGAGGCATTTTGTAGAAGGTCCCACACTGGGATCTTTCTGGTGTTTTCCTCATGATTAGGCTGGGATTGTGGGGTTGGGGGGAGAAGACCCCAGAGGGAAAGTGCCCTATCATCAGGTAATATCTGGGGCACGGACCACCAGCACAACTGCTCGCTTGACGCCAGCCTTGATCACGTGGCTGAGGTGGTGTTTGGGAGGTTCACCTTTTCCATGCTGGCTTTCTTAGGAAGCATGTCACTCATGCACAGTTCATGCTTCAGGAGTGGGGAGGTAGGCCCCCCTCCCTGAGGGCAGCAATCCTCATGAATTATGTGAACTTCTGCACAGGGCATTTGCCTGTTCTACCTATTTATGCAATCATGATTTATATCAGTATTTGCTCATGCTTATTTATTTTATACTTTGGATTGTGGTCCAGTAGCACATTATGTATTTTGTTGCTTGAATTGGTCCAGCTTTGGCCTTTGGGAGTTCTTTTGGGTTGGCTCCACGTCCCTTTCCTTCTCCTGTTGTGTGTGCGTGTGTGTGCATGTGTGTGCATGTGTGTGCACGTGTGTGCACGTGCGTGTGTATGTGCACGTGCGTGTGCGTGTGTGCGCATGTGTGTGTGGGCCTGCGCACAGCCTTACCTTTTGCCACTAGGAGATGCTCCGGACTCATGTTTTTTCCTGCCCCGTCTAGAATCAGCCATTTCTCCCAGGAGCTCTGGTTCCTTTTACTGGAAATCGGTACTGGAAACTAAGACCTGGGCACCAGGTGTGGTTTGCTGCTGGTGTGTCACCTTTTAAAATAAGCCCCGGAAGTCATGGATTTCACCTCTGCTGCACTCACAGGCCCACTCAGAATCAAGGAGAACACAGGCTCGTCCCCTTGCAGGTCTGTCATTGTCACACGTGAGAGCTAATGAGATGGGATATATCGGTGTCATCACTGGAAAATACCATCTGTCACGGCAGTGGTGCTGTTGTGCACCAAGGGCTCGTATGTCACTTAAAACACCTTTCATCCCTGTCTGGTTCTGTTTTGCTTCAAAGAAAGTCTTTCTGAAGTTTGGCTATGCTTTCCTTCCCCACCTCCAAGTTTGGCTCTTCTTGAAGATGGTCAGTTGATGCA